GTAACTCCCGTAGCGTGTGCGAAACGCGGTCTTGTGACAATCGTCGGCGAAGACCCGGATCTGGTGGTAACCGCCACGTAAGTCGATTTTCGAGAAGTAGCGAGCGCCGCGAAGTTGGTCAAGAAGGTCGTCGGTGCGTGGGATTGGGTAGCGAGATTTGATGGTCACCCGGTTCAACGCGCGATAATCGATGCACATGCGAAGCCCGCCGTCCTTTTTCGGAGTGAACAGGATCGGTGCCGCGAACGGGGAGGTGCTTGGCCGAATGAACCCTTTCTCCAACAGTGCGTCAATTTGTCGGCGTAGCTCCTCGAGTTCCGGCTGGGTCAACCGCCACTGTGTCCGAACAGTTGGTTGCGCGCCAGGTTCCAGCTGGATTTTGTGGTCTTCGGGTCTCTCGGGTGGCAGTCCAGGTGGCAGATCGTCCGGGAAAATGTCGGGGTACTGTCGAATCAGCTCCGCTAAATCTGGAGGGACAGCTGCACACAGCTTTTCGATGTCCTTTCCGTTGGTGTCGACCTCCAACTCTCGCAAGCAGACGGCGAACAGTTGCGCACCCTTGTTGAAGTGGCGAGCTATAGTGATGGCTTTGACGCATGGGGCTTGGATGTAGTCAGGTGTCCATGCAGGGAGTTTAACTAATCCCTCGTGCTTCCTGATGCTGCACGATCCCGTGGTCCAGTCGATGACGGGGTTGTGTCGTCGCAGCCAATCACGTCCAAGTAGTACGTCGCAGCCGTCCAGCGTCGTCGCGAGGAACTTCATGCTGAAGCCGAAATCGTCGCCGCATTCGATCCTGACCGTCCGTGTTTCTTCCGTTATCGCCAGCGGCGTCCCATCCACGAGGCGAGCGTCGATTTCGGGCAGACACCTGTCAAGTTGCAGCTTACATTTTTTTGCGCTCGCCAGATTGAAGAGGGCTGGCCCCCCCATCGACGAACATTTTTAAATTATTTTTTAACACCTTGCCAGCGACCAGCACAGGGTGATCCACATGTGTATCCCCGTTATTCGGCCGAGTGCGATCGATTGCATGAATCGGAACCACGACTCGGTGGGGATGGTGGGGTTCGGGCGACGGAGCGTAGTCAGTAAAGGGCCCGCTAATTACTGACTTTTCCCATTTCCCTGCTCCTTCCTGTCGTTCCCTGCTGGCGACGTTTTCTCGGGGCAGTCTTTCATGTAGTGACCCGTCTTCCCACACTGGAAACACGGTCCCTTAGGAGGGCGGTCGGGTGTATTGAAGGCGTTGATAGTGGCCCGATGGGTCTGGCCACGAAAGCGGGTTCCATCCCTGGAAGCCGTTCTCGCGTACTGCATCAGCGCATCTGTTGACTCCGCCAGCCGTACAGCTTCGAGAAATGATGTCGGGCGGTTTCGGCGGACCTCGTACTGTATCTCGTATTTAAGGCCGCTGATGTATTTATCCAACCGCTCTGCTTCCGACATGTCATCAACTTGGTCGGCGAGGCCCATAAATGATGCCGTGTAGTCTTGGACAGATGCCATCTGCGACCAGGCACGCAGCTTCATGCGAGCTTGCTCCGAGGCGGATACATGCTCGAAACGGTTTCGCAAGGCTGCGCCCCACTCCTTCCACGTGCGTATCGTGGTCACTCCGAAGATTGATCCTGCCCCTTGATTAGTTGCTGCAGAGGTCCCGTCTGCCGCATGTGTCACACCTGTCGGCGTCCCTGTTTCCAAGGTTCGGCGCCACCATTCAAGCGCTGCGCCTCGAAGAAGCGAGACTGCGTAATTAATTCGTGTGGCGTCGTTAACTCCCGCAGCAGTGAAGAAGACCTCGACACCGAACAGCCACCCCTTCACTGTAGTCGTCTTGTCCGTAGGATTAAATGGGGGCGGATTGATGGGCTTGATCTTAATCGTTGTCACTGTGGTTGACGTTGCTGCCGCTCGCTGCCTGTCTTCTTCTTCGAAGTCACGTGTGAGCGCATCCAACGGATTGCTCATCGCCTGACTGTTGCCCTCGCCTTCGTCCACAGGCGACTCCTGACGCGCTTCACCTCGCGTCTGGCGTAGCTCGGCGTTTTCCTCCCGCAATGTTGTCACTTCCGCCATTAATGACTTCATGCTCGCCTGCATTTCTGCCATTTGCGCCATCATCTGGTCAACAGCCCCCTGATCCATGTGTCTGGCACTTCGTCTGGTGGGCAGTCGGGTATCCGTGGCTTTCAGGCAAGTGAAAACACGAACTATCGGAGTCGGGCAGGATTGAATTAACAATCCCTGCAGCCAACCGTCGTGTAGTCACTAAACCAGCCACACCCGTGCCACCAAACTACCCTCGGAAAGCGGGGTGAACTAGGAAAGTAGCTCTGATACCAGGTGTTATGAGTTGTAAAAGGAGTGCGCAGGTAAACGAATAACGAGGCTGTGATTCAACCAACTGAGAATACAATGAATGTGCAGACTAATGTAGGGCTAGCCTAGCGGGGGGAAAACTCGGACGAGCGCGGTTTGGAGCAGGTTTGGCGATGGGAAATGCCGAAGGCGACGCGAGGAGCCTCGGCAGCGTTGAAATCGGCCGAACGTGCAAAGTCCGAAAATCGGGTTGTACGCGAAGCAGTCAACCCCGATAAGGAATTCGGAAAAATTCCTTACACTAACTCTTTCCAGTCCATCATTCCTACCTGCTAGATTCTGACATGGTTTCAGAGCAGTAGGTCCAAAGGACCGTTTTTTTTTTTTTTTTTTTTTTTTTTTTTTTCGGCCCACCGTAGTGACCGTCTGCGGTTACCGTGCTACCCCACGCGCTGCCCTGCCATGTGCTGCCCTCGCGCGCCGCCTGCCTGCAGCCCCGCGCGCCGCCTTTACCGCCCGCGCGCTGCCCCTGCAGCCCCACGCGCTGCCCCTGTCGCCCCGCGCGCCGCCCCTGCAGCCCTCGTGCTGCCTCTGCAGCCCGCTCGCTGCCTCTGCCGCCCCGTGCGCTGCCCCTGCAGCCCCGCGCGCCGCCCCTGCAGCCCTCGCGCTGCCTCTGCAGCCCCGCGCGCCGCCCCTGCAGCCCTCGCGCTGCCTCTGCAGCCCCGCGCGCCGCCCCTGCAGCCCTCGCGCTGCCTCTGCAGCCCCGCGCGCCGCCTCTGCAGCCCGCGCGCTGCCTCTGCCGCCCCGCGCACCGCTCCTGCAGCCCTCGCGCTGCCCCCTGCAGCCCGCGCGCTGCCCGTGCAGCCCCGCGCGCCGCCTCCTCAGCCCGCACGCTGCCCCTGCAGCCCCGCGCGCTGCCTCTGCCCTGCTGCGCACCCGGCCCTGCCCTTCTTGCGCGCCCTGGCCCTGCCCTGCCCTACGCGCCGCCTTGCATTGCTGCGTCATGGCTGTTAGGAGAGTAGGGAGGAATGATGGACTATCGAGAGTGCTTGGGTACAAGTGTTGTGTGTGTGTGTGTGTGTGTGTGTGTATGTGTGTGTGTGTGTGTGTGTGTGTTTGGGTGTACCCCACATTGGCTACCCCACTACAGCCTACACCTAATCATAATAATATACATAGTTTGACACACCCCCATAGGCAAAGTGGGGGAGAACAAGGGGTCACAAGACCAGTCAAGAGAAGCAAAGCAAGCTGAGGGTGGATCACAACGTCACCACACACTCCGAGCACAAGCAAAAGGCCACAAGGCCAGTTCACATGCAGAGATATATATGCAACAACAACAGTACAGTGATCACTACCTAGCAAGAGAAAGCAAGCAGGTATTTTTATAGATCACAGTACAAGCAAGGTCACGAAGTGAGCAAGTGAGACGAAACAGGCACAAGGCCTAACATAGTACAGAAGCGCTGATGATCACCAGACGGAAGCGCCTTGGTGAATATATCAGCAGTGTTGGCCCGGGTGGCCACGTAAGCAACACGAAGCTGACCACGCTGCTGCAGCTCTCGAGCAAGGAAGTAACGCAGAGTGATGTGCTTCGTTCTGTGCTCCAGTCTGTGCTCCTGACACAAGGTAATGGCAGCCTTGTTGTCTACGTACAGAATTGGAGGAGAACGAGGCCTCTCTCCCAAGTCGGTCAGCAGGTAAGTGAGCCAGCGTAACTCCTGTGCAGCCATGGCTGTGGCGTAGATCTCAGCCTCACAACTGGAGCTGAGAACAGAAGAAGAGCGGGTAGACCGCCAAGAAACAGAGCCGCAGCCAAGGCTGAAGGTGTAGCCCTGTGACGACCGCAACGTAGCCAGGTCATCAACCCAAGACGCGTCTGAGTGTCCAGTGAGGACAACGTCACCCCGTCCTCCAAGCACGAGCCCCATGCCCGACGTACTGCACAAGTAGCGTAACACCCTCTTAGCAGCCTCCCAGTGCTCTCGCCGGTGTCTCCCAGGCGCAACGTAGCGAGCCAGGATGCTAAGAGGGTAGGCAAGGTCAGGTCGAGTGCAGGTCATCAGGTACATGAGGCAGCCCACAAGCTCTGGATACGGGCCACTCGGCTCTACGGACTCATCCAAAGGCAGAGCTGAGAGCGAGTGATTGGTAGCCATAGGAGTGGACTGTGGCGAGGACCAAGTGAAGCCGAAGCGCTAAAGGACCTGCTGCACCATGTGTGACTGAGTCAGTGTGATAGTGCGCCGTACTCTGTCCCGGGTGATCTGCAAGCCAAGGTAGCTGCGCAGCTCACCCAGGTCTATGCACGTGTGTCTCTTCTGCAGCTCCGACTTCACAAGGGCGAGTGCCTCAGTGTCAGCAGTAGCAAAGACCAGGTCGTCGACGTACACGAGGATGTAGAACGGCGGCAGCAAAGTGTCGGTGCGCAGAAACAGCGACGGGTCAGCAGTCAAAGGAGCAAACCCAAGAGCCGCAAGTGTCGTCCTCTGTGTGTCGTGCCACTCACGAGGCGCCTGGCGGAGACCGTAGACTGGCCGGCGGAGGCTCCACTGGGTACCAGGAGGGAACGACCCAGTGAAGCCAGGTGGGCGGTGCAGCCAGATCTCCTCGTGCAGACTGCCCTGTAAGAAAGCTGTGCTGAAGTCCAGAAAGTGAAGCTCGTAGTCACAATGAGTGGTAACGTGCAGCAGCACCCGCCGCCCGATTCCCCTTTCCCGCGACCCGATTCCCCTTTCCTGGCGCTTGATTCCCCTTTCCCGTCGCCCGATTCCCCTTTCCCGCCGCCTGATTCCCCTTTCCGCGCCCGATTCTCCTTTCCCGCCGCCACGATTTCCCTTTCCCGCAGCCCGATTCCCCTTCCCGCCGCCCAATTCCCCTTCCCGCGCCCGATTCCCCCTTTCTCGCCGCTCGGTTCCCCCTTCCCGCGCCCGATTCCCTTTTTCCGCCGCCCGTTTCCCCGTTCCCGCCATGGGAGCTCCCCTTCCTGCCTTCCATTCTCCCCTTCCCGCCTCCCATTCTCCCCTTCCCGCCTCCCATTCTCCCCTTCCCTCCTCCCATTTTCTCCTTCCCGCCCCCCATTCTCCCCTTGCTCCTCCCATTCTCCCCTTCCCGCCTCCCTTTCTCCTCTTCCCGCCTCCCATTCTCCCCTTCCCGCCTCCCTTTCTCCCCTTTCCACCTCTCATTTTCTCCTTCCCGCCTCCCATTCTCCCCTTGCTCCTCCCATTCTCCCCTTCCCGCCTCCCTTTCTCCTCTTCTCGCCTCCCATTCTCCCCTTCCCGCCTCCCTTTCTCCCCTTTCCACCTCTCATTTTCTCCTTCCCGCCTCCCATTCTCCCCTTGCTCCTCCCATTCGCCCCTTTCCGCCTCCCATTCTCCCCTTTCCGCCTCCCATTCTTCCCTTCCCGCCTCCCATTCTCCCCTTTCCGCCTCCCGAGAGAAGCCTCGTCCCGCCGTCCCCCCCTACCTTCTCTCCGTTACCTCCCTTTCATCCCTTCCCTCCCTCAATTCTCCCTCCCGACATCTCTCCCGTCTCTCCTTTCACTCCCTTTCATCCCTTCCCCCCCTTGACTTCCTTCCCTCCCTTCTCTACCTTCCCTTCCTTCTCTCACTTCGATAAATGTCTCTCTGTTCCCTCCTTTTCTCACCCTTCCCTCCCTTGTCTCCCTTCCCGCCCTTCTCTTTCTTCCCTCCCTTCTTTCCCTTCTCTCCCGTAACCCCCTTCCCTCCCTTCTCTCCCTTCCCTCCCTTCTCTCCCTGCCCTCCCTTACCTCCCTTCCCTCCCTTCTCTCCCTTCTCTCGTATCCCTCCCTTCTCTCCCTGCCCTCCCTTCTCTCCCTGCCCGCCCTGCCTTCCCTTCTCTTCCTTCCCTCCCTTGACTCCCTTTTCTCCCTTCTCTCCTTCCCTCCCTTCCCTCACCACCAACCATCCCTCGCCCTTCTCTCCATTCCCTCCCTTCTCTCCCTGTCCTCCCTTCTCTCCCTTCCCGCCTTTCTCTCCCTACCCTCCCTTTCTCTCCCTGAGCCCCCTTCTCTCCCTTTCTGCCCTTCCCCTTCATGCATCCCACCACCTCTTTCTCCTGCCTTCCCATCCCCCCTTCATGCATCCCACCACCTCTTTCTTCTGCCTTCCCATCCCCCCTTCATGCATCCCACCACCTCTTTCTCCTGCCTTACCATCCCCCCTTCACGCATCCCACCACCTCTTTCTCATGCCTTCCCATCCCCCCTTCATGCATCCCACCACCTCTTTCTCCTACCTTCCCATCCCCCCTTCATGCATCCCACCACCTCTTTCAGTGCACTGTACAAACCCAAACAATTCTGCCAAATGTATATCGCTGCTTTAAAAACTCGCACTTAGAACCCTTTGTGATGAGTCGGTTTTCTTGAAGGCGATTAAACATTGTGTCGAGGTCGCGGAGATGTTGCTCGCGCGTCCTGCTAAAATTCAGAATATCGTCCAAATAGACGATAATCGACTTGTCGAGCAGATCACGGAACACCGCTGTTCATGGTCCATTGAAAAGTGTAAGGCACGTTTGTAAGCCGAAAGACATTACTGTAAATTTGTAGCTCCCGTAGCAAGTCCGAAACACGGTCTTGTAACAATCGTCACCGAAGACCCGAATCTGGTGGTAACCACCACGCAAGTCAATTTTGGAAACATAGTAAGCGCCACGAAGTTGATCGAGAAGGTCGTCGGTGCGTGGGATTGGGTAGCGAGATTCGTTGTTCACACGATTGAGCGCGTGATAGTCGATGCTCATGCGAAGCCCGCCATATTTTTTCGGCGTGAACAAGATCGAAGTTGTGAATGGAGATGTAGTGGGCCGGATGGACCCCTTCTCCAACAGTTCCTGGATTTGGTTTCGCAACTCTTCGAGTTCTGGCTGAGTCAACCGCCACTGTGTGCGCGCCGGGCTCCAACTGGATCTTGTGGTCCTCGGGGCGTTCGGGTGGCTTTACAGGTGGCAGATCGTCGGAGAAGATGTCGGCATACTGTCGAATCAGCTCCACTGAATCAGGTACAACTGCATACATCTTTTCGATGTCTTTTCCGTTGGTGTTGGCTGTCACCTCACGCAAACACACAGCGAACAGTTGCCTGCCTCGGTTGAAATGTCAGGCAATAGTGATGGCTTTGACACACGGGGCTTGGATGTAGTCCGGGGTCCATGTAGGCAATTTAATTAGCCCCTCGTGCTTGCTCATGCTGCACAATCCGGTCGTCCAATCGATAATGGGGTTGTACTTTCGCAGAAGCACGTCGCAGCCGTCCAGTGCCGTCGTGAGGAACTTCATGCTGGAGCCGAAATCGTCGCCGCCTTCGATCCGAACCGTCCGTGTTAGTTCGAGTATCGCAAGAGGCGTCTAATCCACGAGGCGAGCGTCGATTTCGGGCAGACACCTGTCAAGTTGCAGCTTGCATTTTTTTGCTGTCGCCAAGTTGAAGAGGCTATGGCTAGCCCCGCAATTGTTGCATATTTTCATGTTATTTTTCAACACCGTGCCGACGACCAGCACAGGGTGATCCACATGATTATCCCCGTTATTCGGCCGAGTGCGATCGATTGCATGAATCGGAACCACGACTCGGTGGGGATGTTGGTGTTTGGGGGACGGAGCATATTCAGTAAGGGGCCTGTTAATTACTGACTCTTCCCATTTCCCTGCTCCTTCCCGTCGTTCCTCTTTGCCGGCGTTTCCTCAGGGCAATCTCTCATCGTATGACCGCTTCTTGCACTTATAACACAACCCTGTAAAGGGGCGGTCGGGTGCATGGTCTTCGTTGATTGTGGCCCACTGGGTCTGACCGCGAAAACGGTTTCCCTCCCGGGAACCTGCCCTCGCCCACTGCATCAGCGCATCTGTGGACTCCGCCAACCATACTGCTTCTAGGAACGTAGTCGGGTGGCATCGGCTCACCTCAAAATGCACTCTCGTACTTCAAGCCGCTGGTACATTTACCCAGCCGTTCCGATTCCGCCATGTTATCCACTTTGTCAGCGATAGCCATAAATGACGCGGTGTAGTCTTGAACAGAAGCTAGCTGCAACCAGTCATGCAGCTTCATGCGAGCTTGCTCCGAGGCGGATACGTGCTCGAAGCGATCTCGCAAGGCTGCGCCCCACTCCTTCCACGTGCGAATCTTGGTCACACCAAAGATTGATGTTGCCACTTGATTAGCCAAAGTCGAGGTCCCGTCTGCCGCATGTGTCACACCTGTCGGGGTCCCCGTATCCAAGGTTCGGCGCCACCACTCGAGCGCTGGGCCTCGCAGAAGAAAAACCGCGTAAAATACGCGTGGCATCGTCGGTAACGTTCGCTGCAATGAAGAAGATTTCAACGTCGAAGAGCCACCCCTTGATTGTAATGTTATTTTCGGTAGGATCAAACGAGGGCGGGCTCGCAGGTTTAATCTTGATCGTCGTTAGTGCCATTAGCGTCATTGCCGCTCGCTGCCTATCTTCTTCTTCGAAGTCACGTGTGAGCGCTTCCAACGAATTGCTCACCGCTTGACGGTTGCCCTCGCCTTCTTCATCGGGCGATTCCTAACGCGCTTCGTCTCGCGCCCGTCGTGTCAGAATGTGATGTTTGTCTAGCCTGCAGTGGGGTACTCTATAGCGAGTACAACCCGAATTAGGGTTTGCTATATGTACTCAACTGCCTTCTAGTGAAAACCCCTCTTTCTTGTTTCTGATCTTAGCCTGCTGTTTTGACATGCTATCAGAGCTTGTCGACCCTCCTGGGTCGATCCTGTGGGTGGTCCCGCCCGATGCTTCCGCTGCTGTCCTGCCTATGTTTGCTGCCTGCCGCGCGCTCAGGGCGCGCGACGTTTTTTTTTCTTCCCGCCGCGCGCCCGGGGCGCGCGGCGGTTTTCTGCCCCGTCGATCCGGGCGTCGCGACAGGGTCCCGGAGGGCGACGCGACCGTCGGCGGCGCCCTGGGGAGCCGCGCGCCATCCCCCGAGCTGCTGCCCGCGCACCGCCCCCCCGTTACTGCCTGTGTTAGGGTTTGGGGGTGGCGAGTGTGGGGGTGGCGATTATGCGGGTGACGGGTGTGTGCGTCGTCCCCTGCTCCTCCTCCTCCTCCGTCTCCCACTGCTGCAGCTGCCGCTGAGGGGGGTGGATGTGTTGGAGCCGTCGGAGTGGTACGAGGGGGATGGCACGTGAGCATTACTAGAGGTACAGCAAGGGGTGTGTGAAAGGGGTGTGGGACAGTTGGGGGAGGTTGACCGGAGGTAGCCGTTGTGACGTCAGCAGCGCCAGTAGTCCGGGGGTTGAGTACTCCGGTAGCCCAGCGAGCCTGCTGCGCCAGTCGCCCGTGGGTCCGTACCTCCTGTTGCTTAGTGCGGAGCCAGTTACTCCTGTAGTCCGGAGGTTGAGTGCTCCGGTAGCCACCGTGCGAGCCATTCCTGTTGCCCGTGTGTCTGCGGCTTCACCCGACGCCTCCTATCTCCAAACCTATCACAGTCCCTCCTCCTCCTCACTTACCCTCTGTGACTGCCTCTAGCTTTGCTTATCATTGTGAACTACTGCTCTGCCTGCTTGTTGTGTTGATTGTACCCCACTTTGACTATGGGGGTGTGTCAGAATGTGATGTTTGTCTAGCCTGCAGTGGGGTACTCTATAGCGAGTACAGCCCGAATTAGGGTTTGCTATATGTACTCAACTGCCTGCTAGTGAAAACCCCTCTTTCTTGTTTCTGATCTTAGCCTGCTGTTTTGACACGTCGTAGCTCAGCGTTTTCCCCACATATGGTTGTCACTTCCGCCATTAATGACCACACAATGCCCTCCTGCATTTCTGCCACTTGCACCATTAACTTGTAAACCTCTTCCTGATCGAGTCCAGCACTCCGTCCGATGGGCAAGCAAGTATCCGTGGCCTTAAGGTGAGTGAAAAGCACGAACTATGGGAGTCGAGCAGGTGGATTGAATTAACAAACCTTGCAGCCAACCGTCGTACAGTCCGCTGTACCAGCCAACCCGTACCACCAAACTACCCTAAAAAAAATCGGGGTGAACTAGGAAAGCAGCTTTGATACTAGGTGTTATGATTTTTTAACAGAGTTGCGTGAAATAACGAATAACGAGGCTGTGACTCAATGAACTGACAATACAATTAAGGCACGTTCTAATATAATGACTAGTCTAGCTAGGAGGGAACCTCGGGGATGCGAGGTTGGGTGGAGGTTTGGCAATCGGAAAACCGAAGGCGACGCATGGCAGCCTCGGAATCGATGATGTTGGCCGAACGTGCGAAGTCCGAAATGTGGGGGTTGCACACGTAGCAATCAACCCTGGAAAGTTTGGGAAAGTACATCGCAGCTCCACAGTTTCAAAAATATCTCAATTTTGATCCCGAGTTTACCCAAAAAGTCCAGCTTTGCGGAATTCTGCTCACGCGAGGCCCAAAGTATGTTCAAAACTGGTCCTGCAATGCAGAAATTACGACACGTGTCGATTTCGTGCAAGGTTTTTTATACGGGGCAAACCAAACATAATACCCCTGGGGAAACGGGACACAATTTGGGTAATATATTGCACTGCCTGCGTAAGCAGGCAGTGCAATCGAGTCAGCAAGCAGATCGCGGGCCAAAAAAAAAAACTAAAACCATCTCGGATGGGATGCTATCCGAGGGAGCATCAACCCTAAAATTTTAGGGTTGATGCTCCCGAATGGCATGCCGTAAGCCAAGGGGTTTAATTTTTGCCCGCGGGATACATTTCGGGAGGGATCAACCCTAAACACCGGGCGGGTTCCCGTGTTTAGGGTTGATCCCTCCCGAACAAGTGTCCTGGTTTCCCCAGGGGTATTATTGTTTTTGTGCCCCGTCAAAAATTGTTGGTGTGAAATAGACACGTGTCAATATTTGAGCCCTACAGGACCAGTTTTGAACATAATTTGGGCCTCGCGTGAGCCAAATCCCAGAAAGTGGGACCTTTCGAGTAAACCTGGGGGTAAATATGAGAGAAATCTGAAAGTAAGGATCTAGGATATAGTTTCCCGGAAAGTTTCCTTGCACACGAAATGTTTCCTTGCACTCAGCGTGATAACAAGATCGGCCTGCAAGGGGTACTGACTTTGGTGTGTAGCGCGGGAAGCAGGGGTTGTGGTTCGGAAAAGAGGCACAGGAAGAGCAACATTCATCGGCTGGGCTCGGGCGTTCGTTGGGGGCACCAACCGAGCTCCCTGCAATCTACAGGGCCCCAGGCTCGGTGCTTTGAGCCCAGATTGGCACATAGTTGTCTGCAAGTCCTGCTGCCTCTTCCCTCAAACCCTATTCGCGAGATGCACTGCGTTTCGCAAAGCGGTACAGAATGTTGCTGAAACCCTGGGAGGGCGTGTGAATGCTGCGAAATATAACAATGGAAACCTACGCCATATGAGAAGAGGACACAAAGGAATGTAACTTGATAAGTGAACTTTTGGCAGCATATTCGGTTTAGTTATCACCGTGTACGCGGCCTCGAGCATTGATACTGCCATCTCTGTCAGTCTTACAGTACCAATGAGCCAGGCTAGTCAGATGCTTTTCTGCGTTGGAGGGCACCTTGATTCCTCCGATCCGAGTCTGAATCATGCGTTTTCAAAAGCGTAGTGACAAGTAAAGCGGATTACAGCATCTCCGCATTTGCCGTCCGCCATCCCTCGATCTTCTCTCGCAACCTCGCAGTTGATCCCGCGAGCTCTGTCAGGCTGATCGAACGCATCTGCTATCAGGTCTCTTACTGCTTCTGCTTGCCAATAGCGGACAAAAAGGCGAATTTAGTATCATATGATTGACTGTCACTCTCGAGGTGCACTACTTCGAGCAATTGTCCGGCAATGGCGCTTTTCTCTGGCTGGGTGTTCGTTGTGAGGCCGGACCCTGACGATGCGGCGCCGGCTTTGTTACCACGTTACTTGGTGCTCGCGAAATGTAGCCTGCTCATGTACCGTCGCGACCCGACGCTGGTGAAGAACGAGGTCCGTGCAGCACGATTTAGCAAAGGTTTTTTGCTATTAACCTTACTCATGAATTAAGGCGACCGCCAGGATAAGACAACGTAGCTGTTGCCGACATTGCGCGAGGATGATAATATAGCTGGACATTGGCATTGCGCGTGGATTGTTTTTTAAAATTGACACGAGGTAACCAGATGCTCCGGGAAGTGCGATTCCGTTGTAGCTTTGCTACTAAGAAGCCGTGCTTTTCTCCCATCTTCTCTTCTAGTGCTCGCTGATTGTTCCAAGGCAACCTTTTTGCTAACCAGTTTTCTGACGCGTCTCAAGCCACGAACATTTTTTTTTCGTTTGCTCGTGGCTCGAGCAAGCAATACCGTTTCTTCAACTCGTCTCAACCCATGCCACGGGCTGTGCTCACGTAAGTATCTCAGGGGATGCTACTATCTTGAAGACCACCAATGCCAATCGAATGTAGCTCGCGTGACATTCGATTTCGCGTTGAACTCACGACTCGCTTTTGGAAGAATGTTTATCAAAATTTCGAGTTGTTTTCTCTCCTCGCGTTTAGGATGACTGTCGTTGGCCGCGCGTCCTCGTTACCCACCCTCCCGCATTTATTACTCATACGTCGGATATTTTTCTCAACTATTTTCAGAGAAAATGGTCCGCACGCGATACCAGCTCGTCGAGACCAAGTCTATGAACACACACGGCAACTAATTCGATGCCTTTCGAGGCGCCGGGGCAACGAGTGGTCCTGACATACAACGACAAATCTGATCTTGATTCTGACCTTCATTGTTTTTTATTTCCCTGCGTCTCCTCCCGTTTCCTCCACATTGTAATTTCTCCCTTCCCAACATCAATCCCTAAATCCATCCCTTGATCGAGTTTACATTTATCCGTAAATGATGTAGCGCTGCCTCCCCCCGCATTCATAGCCTCCTTGCATCCATCCCTCCGCATTCGCACGCCTCCCTGCTTCGAACCTCCTGCATTCGCATGTCTCCTTGCATTCATCCCTCCGAATTCGCACGCCTCCCTGCGTCGGTTCTTCAGCCGTGCCCAGTGGCGCGCTGACCCCGCAACTCCCAGTAAACGGCCTTGGAGAATTCTCACATCACTCACATCCCTCCACTCCACCCGTCCCTGCGCATTCACACGCTCCTCTGTATTGATCCCTGCGTTGCGTCCGAGCACGAGCCCGTGTCCAGAGGCCTTCTGACATATTCTGAGGCCTTCTGAGGCCTTCTGAGGCCTTCTGACATATTCTCAGCGAGCAGCAGATTTAAAAGAGGACGAGCCTTTGTCCAGAGGCGTGGTGACCCCACAACTCCCAGTGGACGGTTCTTGAGAACTCTCAAGTCCTTCCACTCCACCCGTCCCTGCGCATTCACACGCTCCCCTACATCGTTCCATCCTCTGAGCAGGAACCCGTGTCCAGCGGCGTGCTGACTCCGCAACTCGCAGTAGAGGACTGCGGACGCGAGGTGTACGCCGATGGACGGGTGAGACGCTATGTTGAATTATTGAGGTGTACGCTGATGGACGGGTGAGATGCTATGTTGAACTATTGAGGTGTACGCCGATGGACGGGTGGGATGCTATGTTGAACTATTGAGGTGTACGCTGATGGACGGGTGGGATGCTATGTTGAACTATTGAGGTGTACCCCGATGGGCGGGTGGGATGCTATGTTGAACTATTGAGGTGTACGCTGATGGACGGATGAGACGAGATGTTGACGTTTAAGGTTTGACCTCGATGGACGGTTGAGATTTGATTGTTATAGTTCATGAACTGGTGCACATGGGCAGGGTTAGGTTGCTGTGCTGTCCATGTTCCAAACATTCCTTCATGTCGTCTGTATATCCGTCCCAGCCATTGGATTTTAACACATCTTTAATTAACACCTTCTCAACTCCCTCGCTCTCTCCCTCGCTGTCTGCTCTGTGCCACTCTGGCTTGTCTATCCCCGCTATAGGCTCTCCACGCGTTCCGAGTGTACAACAAGGCCATGCCAGACCAAGGTGGAAAGGTGAGAAGGCTTGGAAAAGGTGGGGAGACTCATAAAGATGAGAAAGCTTGAAAAGGTGCAAACTCGTGGGAACGAGTTAGTCTGTGAAAGGAAAACAGAGAAGGATTCTGGAAGGATGGCAGGCAGCCTGGGAAGGCGGGAGCATGGGAGATTGGAAAGAAGGGAGGATGGGAAAGGTGTCGTGCGGAGTGGAGTGGAGACGACTGAAGGCATGTGATGTGATGGGGTGTGTGACGACTTATGTAATGGGGTGTCTGGTGTATACGATCGGGTGTGTGATGATCTGCAGTGTGTGATGTGATGTGATGGGTTGTGTGGAAGTGTTCAGGAAGCAAGCTGTTACTTGTGTATGTGGATGCGTGTATATGCTCCTCGCAATGAAGCTGTTTTAGTTCCCTGCTCTTGCACACGTACATCCGCTTGTCGTTTGACTTCACCCTCGCACCTCACCCACCAGGTGGCAACCACCAGCGCAGGAGTGGTTACCGGCTGCTTTTTCTGTGAAATATTCGAATCCCGCATGACTGTACCGCATGTGACTGTACCACATGTGACAGTACCACTTGTGACAATACTGCATTTGACTTCACCCTCGCACCTCACCCACCAGGTGGCAACCACCAGCGCAGGAGTGGTTACCGGCTGCTTTTTCTGTGAAATATTCGAATCCCGCATGACTGTACCACATGTGACTGTACCACTTGTGACAATACTGCATTTGACTTCACCCTCGCACCGCACCCACCAGGTGGCAAACACCAGCGCAGGAGCAGTTACCAGCGGCTTTCTCTGCGGATTGTGGAAATTCCTGAAGAATGCACCACATGTGACTGTACCACTTGTGACAATACTGCGTTTGACTACACACACCCCTGCACTGTACCCACACGCACACCAGGTGGCAACCACAAGTGCAGGAGCAGCTCAGAAGTGGATCTCAGCCATTGAAGAGTCCATCAAGGAATCAGTAAGCGTGCCACCCTCCTACCACACATGCTCCCCACTCTTGGCTCGCCATCCCTTCCCATCCCCTCATCATCTCTCCCCACGTGTTTCCTCTTTCTCTCCTCCACCTCGTTTGCCTGCACGTACACCACTATAACCCCTCGACTTCACATTTTGAGGCGCCTCAAAACTGAGACGCATTTTGAGGCGCCTCGAAATCCACCTCGTTTGCCCGTACGTACACCACTATAACCCCTCGACTTCACACTGTCTCGCCAGCCCGCAGCGCATGCATCCTCCCCAACTGCTCTATCCCCCCCCTTGCACCTCATCTCCTCCTCTTGCTTCTCTCCCCTTCCTCACTTCTCTCCCCTTTATCGCCGCTCTTCCCTTCTCCTTGCCGCTTCCCCCCACCCTTTTCCTCTCTCTCCCGTCTCCTTGCGCCCCTCTTTTCATCTCTACTCGTGTTTCAGGAGACCGGGGGCAAGCCAGAGAAAGCATCTGTGGGGTACGTGTGCAGTGCACATAGAAGCGCCCTCATGTGCAATGCAATGAACAACCAACCTGGGTTGGCTTTTAAGTCGACTCAAAAGTTAAGCCAGAGAAAGCATCTGTGGGGTACGTGTGCACGTAGAAGCACCTTCATGTTCATTGCACCTTCATGTGAGAGCATCGGTGGGGTACGTACCCCCATGTGCAATGAATATCTAGAGACTTTCTTTGATAGGTTGTGATTAGGGAGGGAGAGGGAGGGAGCCCTTTAAAAACATAACTCGCTTCCTGGCTTGGTAGAAGCCCTAGCGAGTACCCTTTAACTCGCTTCCTGGCTCCTCCAAACTGACTTTTGAGTCGACTCAAAAGTCTTCCTGGCTCCTCCAAACCCTTCACTACTCGTGCCCATCCCCTTCCTCGTTCTTTACTTATGTCCCACCCATTCCCCCCCTTCTCTCGCTCTTTCGCTCTCCATGTTTCCCCGTATCCCCCTCTCGATCCCTCATGCCTTCTCATCGTTTCTGCACACTCTCACTCGCTTCACTCCCTCTCACCTTCGTCTTTGGCAGAGAGCGCACTCTCACTCGCTTGGTCTCCATCGGTCAAGGTCAGCTCTCCTCTCCTCTCTCACCTTCCCGTGTTTCTTCTCTTCTTCGTTCCTCCGCTCCTCTCCATCCCCCTTCTCTTTACAATTCCTTGTCATGCGCCACATGATTCCTCACCCACGTGATTCCTCACCCACGTGATTCCTCATCCACATGATTCCTCACCCACGTGATTCCTCACCCACGTGATTCCTCATCCTCATGATTCCTCATCCACGTGATTCCTCATCCTCATGATTCCTCACCCACGTGATTCCTCACCCACGTGATTCCTCACCCACGTGATTCCTCACCCACGTGATTCCTCATCCTCATGATTCCTCACCCACGTGATTCCTCACCCACGTGATTCCTCATCCACATGATTCCTCACCCACATGATTCCTCATTCTCATGATTCCTCACCCACGTGATTCCTCACCCACGTGATTCCTCACCCACATGATTCCTCATCCTCATGATTCCTCACCCACGTGATTCCTCATCCACATGATTCCTCACCCACATGATTCCTCATTCTCATGATTCCTCACCCTCGTGATTCCTCACCCTCGTGATTCCTCACCCTCGTGATTCCTCACCCTCGTGATTCCTCACCCTCGTGATTCCTCACCCTCGTGATTCCTCACCCTCGTGATTCCTCACCCTCGTGATTCCTCACCCTCGTGATTCCTCATCCTCATGATTCCTCACCCACGTGATTCCTCATCCACATGATTCCTCACCCACATGATTCCTCATTCTCATGATTCCTCACCCTCGTGATTCCTCACCCTCGTGATTCCTCACCCTCGTGATTCCTCACCCTCGTGATTCCTCACCCTCGTGATTCCTCACCCTCGTGATTCCTCACCCTCGTGATTCCTCACCCTCGTGATTCCTCACCCTCGTGATTCCTCATCCTCATGATTCCTCACCCACGTGATTCCTCATCCACATGATTCCTCACCCTCGTGATTCCTCATTCTCATGATTCCTCACCCACGTGATTCCTCACCCACGTGATTCCTCACCCACGTGATTCCTCACCCACGTGATTCCTCATCCTCATGATTCCTCACCCACGTGATTCCTCATCCACATGATTCCTCACCCACATGATTCCTCACCCTCGTGATTCCTCACCCTCGTGATTCCTCACCCTCGTGATTCCTCACCCTCGTGATTCCTCACCCTCGTGATTCCTCACCCTCGTGATTCCTCACCCTCGTGATTCCTCACCCTCGTGATTCCTCACCCTCGTGATTCCTCACCCTCGTGATTCCTCACCCTCGTGATTCCTCACCCTCGTGATTCCTCACCCTCGTGATTCCTCACCCTCGTGATTCCTCACCCTCGTGATTCCTATTGGCCGAGGCCACAGCAGGCACTCTGCTCCCAGGAGCAGCAGAAGCCACTGCTGCATGATGAGTCAGACCGCCGGCCGGATGGCTCAGAACATGCGGCGGCAACCCGTTTGCAGGATGAACAGGCCGAATGCCCATTCCCACGCCAGCAGCAGCAGCAACTCCTGCTGCCATCCCCGCCCCCATCCCCACCGCCATGCCTGGACCCCCGGCACCAGCAGGACCGGCAACACCCGGCCCTGCCAAGCCTGCGGCAGGCATGGGCAAAGAGGGCAAGGCCCCTGGGTGAGAGGGTGTGGGGCGATTGGGAAGATAGAGAGCCGCACCCAAGGCAGGTGCGACGAGGAGAGACTGCGAGGCTGACGCTGCAGCAGAGCCTGCAGCGGCACCCGCATGGTCCAATGAGGGGCCGACAGCTAAGCTGTCGGCCAGGGCTGCTGCTGCTGCCTGTTGTGGTGGCGGGGATGGCTGCTGCTGTTGCTGATGCTGCTGCTGCAGGTGAGCGTGTTGCATGTGTGCCTGCGAGTGCACCTGCTGCTGACCATGCTGCTGCTGCTGCAGCTGCTGTTGTGGCGGCGGCTGCTGCGCTTGTGCAACTGCCTGGTGTTGCTGCTGCTGCTGCTGCTGCTGCTGCTGCTGAGGCTGAGGCTGCTGCCCCTGCTGCTGCCTCTGCTGCTGCAGCAGCCGAACCTGCCTAAGCCCCTCGTCATGAATCCGAGCCAGAGTATCAAGCTCGGCAAGCGACAGATTCTCCAATCCAGCACCATACAGCGGCGCATGCCTAGACATCTCCTCCTGAAGCGATGCTTCTAGGGTTTGGATATAATCCTGGTGAGCATGCAGCTTTGCCTCCATGCCGTCGATGTATGCCTCGTATCGCTGCACCTGCTCCTCCTTCTCCCGCAGCCCACCCTCCGTCTGCCCCACCGTCTGCGTCAGCCGCCGAACCTCCTCCTCCAGGGACTGCCGAGCCTCGTCGCGAGACACGGTTTCCGTGGCAAAGCGCTTCACCTCCTCGTCAAACCGCTTCCTCGCCTGCTCTGCCGCTTTCAGGCGCTCCGCTAGGGCGTTCTTCTCCTTCACCACTTTCTGTGAGGTGCGGGGAAGGGGGAAAACCAGGGAGGGAGAGGAGGGGATGATTCTTGCCTCTGAGGTTATCTGTGCACACAGAGCCGTAGGAGGGAGAAGGGCAAACAACGAAGCTTAAGCATAGAAATAATCGAGTTTGAAACTGGAAGAGCAGGGGTGAGGGCAAGGAAGAGAAGATTGGTAGGGGAGAGGGGAGGGAGGGAGGACATAGAGAGGAGAAAGACAAGGGGATGCACAGCTCACCTTGAGCTCCTCCCGCTTACGCGACTTGAGCTGTGTCAGCTGCGCCTCAGCCGAGGCAGGGGGAGAGCGAGTGGATGGGGAAGGGAGGGGGAGGGGAGAGGGAAGGGAGGGGGGACCGCGAAGGAAGCAGGGCTCACCTTGAGCTCCTCCCGCTTGCGCGACTTGAGCTGCGTGAGCTGCGCCTCGCTCTCCCTCAGCCGCTCCGCCAGCTGGCGCTTCTCCCACGTGATTCCTCACCCTCGTGATTCCTCACCCTCGTGATTCCTCACCCTCGTGATTCCTCACCCTCGTGATTCCTCACCCTCGTGATTCCTCACCCTCGTGATTCCTCACCCTCGTGATTCCTCACCCTCGTGATTCCTCACCCTCGTGATTCCTCACCCTCGTGATTCCTCACCCTCGTGATTCCTCACCCTCGTGATTCCTCACCCTCGTGATTCCTCACCCTCGTGATTCCTCACCCTCGTGATTCCTCACCCTCGTGATTCCTCACCCTCGTGATTCCTCACCCTCGTGATTCCTCACCCTCGTGATTCCTCACCCTCGTGATTCCTCACCCTCGTGATTCCTCACCCTCGTGATTCCTCACCCTCGTGATTCCTCACCCTCGTGATTCCTCACCCTCGTGATTCCTCACCCTCGTGATTCCTCACCCTCGTGATTCCTCACCCTCGTGATTCCTCACCCTCGTGATTCCTCACCCTCGTGATTCCTCACCCTCGTGATTCCTCACCCTCGTGATTCCTCACCCTCGTGATTCCTCACCCTCGTGATTCCTCACCCTCGTGATTCCTCACCCTCGTGATTCCTCACCCTCGTGATTCCTCACCCTCGTGATTCCTCACCCTCGTGATTCCTCACCCTCGTGATTCCTCACCCTCGTGATTCCTCACCCTCGTGATTCCTCACCCTCGTGATTCCTCACCCTCGTGATTCCTCACCCTCGTGATTCCTCACCCTCGTGATTCCTCACCCTCGTGATTCCTCACCCTCGTGATTCCTCACCCTCGTGATTCCTCACCCTCGTGATTCCTCACCCTCGTGATTCCTCACCCTCGTGATTCCTCACCCTCGTGATTCCTCACCCTCGTGATTCCTCACCCTCGTGATTCCTCACCCTCGTGATTCCTCACCCTCGTGATTCCTCACCCTCGTGATTCCTCACCCTCGTGATTCCTCACCCTCGTGATTCCTCACCCTCGTGATTCCTCACCCTCGTGATTCCTCACCCTCGTGATTCCTCACCCTCGTGATTCCTCACCCTCGTGATTCCTCACCCTCGTGATTCCTCACCCTCGTGATTCCTCACCCTCGTGATTCCTCACCCTCGTGATTCCTCACCCTCGTGATTCCTCACCCTCGTGATTCCTCACCCTCGTGATTCCTCACCCTCGTGATTCCTCACCCATGGGATTCCTCCTCTGCACTGCATGACCCCTTCTCCTCGTGGCTCATCCTGAAACCGCATGGCGTACATTTGTCATTTGGTTCCTCTTTCTCGTGTCCCTTGTCTGGCACTGCCTAGTTGCACTTCCATCTTTTCTTGTCCTCTCGCCCCTCCCACCTGACCTTCCCTCCCCCCCCAAAAATACCTCCTTCATTCAGAGGCCCTGGGGGACATCTTCACTCGGGAGATGCAGGCAGATGTGGACGTGGGTTGTTGCCCAACCTGTGCCCACCTGAGCTTTGTTCCTTAGCCCAATGTGTGGTCTTACGTCCTCACACCCCCCCCCTTTCCCTCCTTCAGGCCGGGGTGACATCTTCACTCGGGAGATGCAGGCAGATGTGGGCATCAAGTGTTGCCCGCGCCTTAGTTCCTTAGCCCAGCCTGTGATCTTACGTCCTCGCTGCCCCTCTCTGCCCCTCGCTGCCCTTCCTTCCAACCATCAGGCCTGGGTGACATCTTCACTCGTGAGATGCAAGCCGACGTGGACGTGGGAGGCGATGCGGTAGAAACCACCAAGTGGAGGATCTTTAAAGTGGCGGACGGTAAGCCAAGGCAAAGGCAAGCAGCGAGTTGACTTTTGAGTCAACTCAGAAGTCAATTAGGTGTGGATGTGGGAGGCGATGCGGTAGAAACCACCAAGTGGAGGATCTTCAAAGTGGCGGACGGTAAGCGAAGCAATGCATGCATGCTGCCTTTGAGGCTTGTCAGAAGCAGTGAATTGGAGTGTGGGGGGCGATGCGATGCAAACCACCAAGTGGAGGATCTTCAAAGTCGCCGTCAGTAAGCAGCGAGCTGACTCTTGAGTCGTTTAAAGTCAACTAGGTGGACGTGCAAGGGGATGTAATTGAAACCACCAAGTGAAGGATCTTCAAAGTGGCGGACGGTATGCAAGCAAGCAGTGCCCCTACTCCCACCCACTCACACACATACCTGCCTGACTGTCGCCTTTGAGGCTTCTCCAAGTCAGTGAGTGGAACAGAGGGGATGCAGTGAAATGAAAACCACCAAGTGGAGTGGCCTGACTGACAGTAAGCTAAGGCAAAGAGAGCTGTCGAATTCCATGCCGCATCCCCTGTTTGTGATTGCCTTTGAGATGCTCTAGAAAGAAGGAAGACGTGGGTAGGTGTGAGAGAAAGGTGATAAACCGAAAGAAAAGTTCCAGTCTTGATGTGAGCAGAAAATTCACGACGCCCTGAGTCCTCCTCTGACAGCTGGCTGCCCTCTTTTGGTTTACCCTCTGATGGCAGGCAACCGTTTCTGTCACCCACCCTCTTCCTTGATCGTTTCTGACCCACCCACCCTCTTTTGAATTGACCAAGAACTCAAGATGAAGCTCGTTTCTGCTGCTGCTACCATTCCTCTTTCTCATCCGCGGTCGCCCACCTTTTTTCTCGTCCTCCCCCTCCCTCCCCCAACCCCTGCCCCCACCCTCTGCCCCCTCCTCCCTGTTTCAGGCCTTCGGTTCTTCCACGAAGCATCTGAGGTGAGAGAGGATTCGATGGGTTGGATGGGATGGGATGCGGTGGGATGGGATGGGATGCGGTGGGATGGGATGGGATGGGATGGGATGGAATGGAATGGGATGGGATGGGTTGGGATGGGATGGGATGGGATGGGACGGGATGAGATGGGACGGGATGCGGTGGGATGGGATGGGAATGAGAGGGGAATGAGAAGTGGAATAAGGAGGGAGGGGGGTGGTTGGGGGTGGAGGAAGAGTGTGCAAAGGAGAGGAGCGCAGTGATTGGCTGATTAACATGCTGACATGGCTTGGCAGGACTCTAATATGCTTACCCAGGGATTGTCGCCATGCATGTTTGACCTGGGTTGCCGCAACAGATACCCATGCAAGTGAAGTGGGCCTCGCAGAAACGCCCGCACTGGTCACTCCGGCAGCGGTCATGCCTGCAATCAACCCCGCACACAAAACCACCGCACTCAGAACCTCTTTCAGAACGGCACTCAGAACTTCACTAGGAACCGCAGTCTGATCCGCCCTGGGTTCCTGTCGCTGCTTCTCTGCTGCTGCTGCCCTGCAGCACGATCCACTGCCGTGGACCCCCCCCTTCCTCCTCATGTGTGTGTGTGTGTGTGCTCGTGTGATATTGTTGTGTCCGTTTCTCTTGGTGTGATATCTGAGTCATTTCAGAAGCCCCCTTGATGGCTTTTCTGTAGTTCTCCTTTGCCTGGCTGCTGAGGTATCTCAGAGAATGTGTGTGGTGTTTCACTTTTGAGCATTTTCAAAAGTGATTCTCAGAGAATGTGTGTGGTGTTTCACTTTTGAGCATTTTCAAAAGTGATCCTCAGAGAATGTGTGTGGTGTTTCCTCTGTTTTTCTTTGTACTCAAAACCCACCTGGTGGCATGTGCGTGGATATGCACATGTGTGTGCATCTGTGTGTGTGTGTGCGTGCGCGTGCATGTGCGTGTGTGCGTGCGTTTGTGTGTGTGTCTGTGTGCACGCACGCACGCGCACGTTTTCGTGCACGTGTGTGTATGTGTGTCTGTGTGTTCTTGTGCATGCGTTACTGTGTGTGATGGCTCTGAGCAGGAGGGCTTTGAGTCTCTGATCAAGGCGGAGGGGGTGGTGGAGGCATCAGCAGACAGCATCTTTGAAGTTCTCATGAGCACAAGCGCTCCCCTCTCCATGCAGTGAGTGACAGTGCAATGCAGCCACACTCACAAGCTCAGGTAAGGTCTACACGTGCACCTTTTGAGGCACCTCGAAAGGCGGAGGGGGTGGTGGTGGAGGCATTGGCAGACAGCATCTTTGAAGTTCTCATGAGCACCAGCGCTCCCCTCTCCATGCAATGAGTGACCGTGCAGTGAGTGACCGTGCAGTGAGTGACCGTGCAGTGCACGTGCATGTGCAGTCACTTGTGCATGTGCTCAAGTGCTCACACGCTCAACTTGGGTGCGCATGTGCTCACACGCTCAGCTTGCATACCATTGGATAACAGTGTGCCATGTACCACCAATCTAGTAGCAATCTCATCTTCCCTCCCTCCCTCCTGCCCTCCCAACTCTTGGTCAGGTGGGACACATTCACAGTGGAGAACGAGGTGGTGGAGGCAGTGGATGGCAGTGGAAGGCTGTGTTCCAATCTTGGAACATATTTTCCTTCATCTCCTTTCCTTGACCTTACTTACCCGTGGCCGTGGCTGGCAGGTGGGACACATTCACAGTGGAGAGCGAGGTGGTAGAGGCAGTGGATGGCCACACGGACATCATATTCGCTATAGTCACCAACAGGCAGTACACTCACGGGTGAGTCTTTCACTTTTGGACCCTCTATATTGTCACTTCAGACAGGTAGTACACTCACGGGTAAGTGAGCCTTGTGCTTGTGCCATGACTCAGCCATATGCCCTCTTACCCCCTCCCTCACCCCTTGCCCCCCTCCCTCCTGTCACCCCTCTCCCATCTGTCCCTTCCCTTCCTCCTGAGCAGGAGGCCGTTGGAAAAGGAGGTAACGACTTTTGAGACGTCTCAGAGGCCGTTGGAAAAGGAGGTAACGGCATCGCGCACATGGAGGCGCAACCACCTGCCTCCTCACCTCCTGCCTTCTTGCCCTTTCACCCCTCGCCCCTCTCCCACCAACCCCACCTGCACAGGAGGCCGACGGAGAAGGAGGTACTGGCGTCGCGCACATGGAGGCGCAACCACGACGGGTCTTACGGTGAGTCTCGCACATTACTTCATTGCAGAAGTTCTGGTCAATGCATTTCTCTATCCTGCTATCCCTTCTCTCGCCCAACCCTCCCATTCTCCTTCCACCCTCCCCCCAGGCATCACCACGTTCAACACCCTTCACGACTCCAAGCCCCCCAATGCCCGCCGCCCGCGCCTTGACTTTGCATGTAAGTGCCGCCCTGCTCTCTTTTCCTCCTTCACCCCTCCACTCCACCTAGAGTTGAGCAGGTGCCCCGCGCGGGTCGGGTCGGGGCGTTCTAGCGCGGGTCGGGGCAGTGTTTTCATTTGCGTGCCCCATATGGGCCGACCCGACCCGACCCGGGCAAAAACCCGGCCCGAGTTCAAGCTCGGGCTGGGTCGGGTCGGGTTTCGGGTCACGCTTGACCCGACCCGAGCTCGGGTCAGGACCAAGGAAATCGGGTCGGACTTTTGACCCGACCCGATTTCGACACCCAGTGGACAAACCCTAAGTCAAAATGTTGTCGAGGGGTTTTTTTTCCCCGCGACAGCAAAACCTACCCAAGCTCGATCTCAATCTTGCCTAACGGCAGCAGGGAAGCTAGTCGCCTAAGCTTAGAACCTACTAATTTTCCTCCCGTTCTGACCTCATTTCCAGTCATTTCTAGGTAGTTTATTATCGTAACATCGTAACATGCCGTTGACAGTAAATCGCGTGGCAGAAATGACGCTTTTTTACAGATACCCGTTTTACTAGTATGGCTTCAATTCGCAAGATAAATGCATCATCTTAGGCCAGCAGTATCTCATGAGCGCTTAGCAACTACCGGGATACCATTTCGTATAGGATCTTAAGTAGAACCATAACAGAGAAACTGCACAAAATGTAATGAACACCCCCAGCCCCCTCTAAAGGGGCGGGTCATCCTGGCCCGACCCGACCCGACCCCGGGTCCCCTTTGACCCGAGTGAGTAGGCCCGAGCCTGGCCCGACCCGACCCGACCCGACCCGACCCGGGAGTCTGTGTGGCCTGGCCAAGTCAGGTCGGGTCGGGCCGGGCCTGGCCGGCTGCTCAACTCTAACTCCACCCCTCGAATTCCCTTGTTCGTACCCCCCTTCCTGTTCAACCAGTGGGAACAAGAGACATCCCCCTCTCAGCCCCGCTTGTTCCTATCGATCTTTTTACGCACTTTGAGAATTCTCAGAAATTCCTCACCCCTCCACTCCACTTCCACGCCTCTCTTTCCCCCCTCCTTGCCTCCACCCTTCCCCCTCCAACCAGTGGGATGGGGACATCTTCCCGCTCACCCCCGTAAAACCCTGTCCCTCCTCCCTTTCCCTCCCCTTCCCTCCCCATCCCCTTCTGGCCAACCAGTGGGGTCATGGGACATCCTCCCCCTCACCCCCGCCCGCCCCAAATCCGGCCACGTGAAGTGAAGTGCTGCCTCGTGCGCCACGTCATCGAGCTCGGCACCGCTGCCTCCCTCTCCTCCTCCCTCTCACCCTCCCCCTCACCCCAGCTTGTTGCAAACGTTCTTCTAGAACTGCTGCATCATTTCTCATCGCCCTCCTGTTTTCTCCCCTCTCCCCTCTTCCTCCCACTTTCCCCCCTTCCCCTCCCCCCCCCCCCCCTCTTCCCAAATCCAACCAGTGGGGTCATGGGACATCCTCCCCCTCACCCCCGCCCGCCCCAAGACCGGCCACGTGAAGTGCCTCGTGCGCCACGTCATCGAGCTCGGCACCGCTGCCTCCCTCTCCTCCTCCCACTTGTCTGCTGACGGCGCTCCTCCCACCCCTAGCAGACGCTCCAACGCCTCTTCCTCCGCCTCCTCTTCTGTCTCCGCCTTGGCCTCTCCCAGCACCTCATCCCCCTTGCATGCTTCTCTCCCCAGGCCTGCGCACGCAGTTGCGGGAGTGGCGAAAGCCGCTGCTGGGAAGCCGATTTCGTTTATCAAAGGGCTGATGAGGGAGAAGAAGGACAAGGAGAGGGATCTGCTGAAATCAGCATCTGTGGCAGTGGCGGGGGGGATGGGAGGAGCAGGGGGAGGAGGAGCAGGGGGGGAGGGGGAGGAGTGGAGGTGGTGGTAGAGGAGGAGGCGGATGGGCATGTGGCCTTTGAGGAGTTTGCAGATTCGTTCCCGTACGCGTCGCTGTGCCGCATTGCAGGTATGCCGAGGACGGTTAGAGTGTTGTAGAGTGGTTCAATGTGCTGCTTGCACTGATAAAGGTGGGGGGGGTGGGGGGGATGGTGGAGGAGGAGGCGGATGGGCATGTGGCGTTTGAGGAGTTTGCAGATTCGTTCCCGTACGCGTCGCTGTGCCGTATTGCAGGTATGCAGAGGAGGTTTAGAGTAGTTTGGAGTGGTGCAGTGCGCTTGTTTGCACGATTTGGAGTTGGGGAGGCTGGGCAGGCGGATGGGTAGGCGGATGGGCAGGTGATGCATGTGGCGTTTGAGGAGCTTGCAGATTCATTCCCGTACGCGTCGCTGTGCCGCATTGCATGTACGTAGAGGAGAGGAGGTTTAGAGTGGTGTGGAGTGGTGCAACGTGCTGCTCGTTTATTTGAGGTGGAAAGGTGGGTAGCTGAAGGAGTAGGAGAGGCAGATGGGCCAGTGGTGGTGCATGTGGCATCTGAGGAGTTTGCCAATTCGTTACGAGCTGGTTTTTGAGAATTCTCAAAAACCAGCTCGTATCATATGAAGGAGGAGGAGAGGCAGATGGGCCAGTGGTGCATGTGGCATTTGAGGAGTTTGCCAATTCGTTCCCGTAAGCGTCGCTGTGCCGCATTGCAGGTATGGGGTGGGCAGGGGGTGTTTTTTAAGTTGCGTGAGGGAGTGGTGCAGGAGGCCACAGTTAACCATGAGGTTGCTGTCCCTCTCGACTCAAACCCTCCCCCAACTCGATCTATCTTTCTCCTACCTGCCTCCTTTTTCCTTTTTTCATGTGGATCATCCCCCACCCATCCCCCACCCATCCCCCACCCACTTCCCAGGCCTGAGGGAGTTCTTTAGAGCACAGCCGGCCACGGAGGAGCAGGTGGAGGGGGAGTCACACCGACACCCCCGATCACCCCCCCATCCCTCCCCCACGCCTGAGGGAGTACTTTACAGCACAGCCGGCCATGGAGGAGCATGTGGAGAGGAAAACTGACGAGGGGTTGCTGTCCTCCTAACTATCCCGACTGCCTTGTATCCCTCTCATTACCTCTACCTCTGTTGCATCGGCCCATGCACTTTGCAGGTCTGAGAGAGTTTTTCGCAGCACAGCCGGCTATGGAGGAGCATGTGGAGAGGAACACAGAGGAGGTGGTTGCTGTCCCTCCCCACTCAACCTCCTTACCTCTCTCCTCCTACCTCTTCCCCTATCTCAGGCCTGAGGGAATACTTCGCAGCACAGCCTGCGATGGAGGAGCATGTGGAGAGGAACACAGAGGAGGTGGTTGCTAGCCTGATGGAAAGGACTGAGAGCCTTGAAGACCAGTTCTTTGATGCTGAAGGGGGGGAGGACGAACCCGCTAAGGTGTGTGCTGTTGTCTGCTTATAAGGAGTTATTACAGCAAGTACAAGAGGAGAGGAGGAGACAGGGGTAGCAGAGGAGCAAGTGAGAGGTGGTTGCTAACCTGATGGAGATGGCTGAGAGCCTAGTTTTGAGTCAACCCAAAATTTTGAGTCTGGTTTTGAGTCGACTCAAAACGAGCCTGATGGAGATGACTGAGAGTCTTGAAGACCAGCTCTTTGACGCTGTAAGGGAGAAGGCCGAGCCCGCTAAGGTGTGTTTGTGCACATGCTTATAACGAGTATAAGAGGATAGGGCGCAGCCGAAGTAAAGCCAAAGCCACTATACAGACCCGTGTTATATATCCGATAGGACGGGTGACCCAAAAGCTGTCCCCACTCCTTTAGTCCCTCTGTTCCCTCACACACTCTCTCTCTCTCTCTCCTTGCACCCACTCTCTTTTTCGTCCCCAAAATCCCTCTCACTATCCCATATCCCCGTCACTCACTCTCTCTCCCCCATGGCAGGAGAAGGTATCGGCCAAGGCGCGCTGGCAGGGGCTCAAGTGGATGGTGCAGTTTGGCTTCCGCCTGCGATCCCGTGAGTGCTGTGCTGAGACGAATGTGCGATTCTGGGGGCTGTTGAGAGTCCCTTGATGGGGTGTGAGGTGCAGGAGGAATGACTGGGTGGGGTGGGGGGTATGTGTGCTGTATAGAGGGGACTCAAGTGGATGGTGCAGTTTGGCTTCCGCCTGCGATCCCGTGAGTCCTGAGACAAGGTGTGGGTTGCTGTGAGGGCCATGGGGTGTGAGTTGCGGCAGGAATGACTGTGTGGGTGGGGGATATGTGCAAGTGGATGGTGCAGTTTGGCTTCCGCCTGCGATCCCGTGAGTCCTGAGACAAGGTGTGCAATTTTGCAGCTTTTTAGATGTGGGTGTGCGATCTTGTAAATCCCTCCATCACATGTGAGCTTCTGTTGGAATAACTGTGGGGGATATGTGTGATGTATAGAAGGGGCTCTCTTGTGAGGGGCTCTCTTGTGAGGGGCTCTCTTGTGAGGGGCTCTCTTGTGAGGGGCTCTCTTGTGAGGGGCTCTCTCGGAGGTGGAATCAAACCCGCACAGGTGTATGACCAGGTTGGCTTCCGCTCGCGTGCAGGTTCTTAGACAGTATGTGCGATTCTGCAAGTCTTCAGATGGATGGGGGTGTGCGAATCGCACATATCGTCTAAGAATCCCCCCATGGAACGTGGGGGAGGGGAGGATTGAGGGCCCACACCCTGCCTCCTCCCATCGAGTGATTTTTGAGAATTCTCAAAAATCACTCATTGAGGGCCCACACCCTGCCTCCTCCCATCGTCCCTCTCCCTACCTATTCGCTCACCGGATCCCATCCCTCCCTGCCCAATTTTTGAGGCGCCTCAAAAATCGTCAGTTTTGAGGCGCCTCAAAAATCTACCTATTCGCTCACCGGATCCCATCCCTCCCTGCCCCTCTCCCTCCCTCTCCCCCTCCGTCGGCCCATCTCCCTCTCTTTCTCCCCCCGTATCCTCCCTCGTCGCCAGTGTTCCTGGTGGAGGAGGAGGAGGCGGACAAGGAGCGCTGGGAGGTGCGGATGCCGGTACATCAAGATTCAAGAGAACCTTTTCTCAACCCCCCAACCCACCCTCCCATCCTCCCTCGTCGCCAGTGTTCCTGGTGGAGGAGGAGGAGGCGGACAAGGAGCGCTGGGAGGTGCGGATGCCGGTACATCAAGATTCAAGAGAACCTTTTCTCAACCCCCCAACCCACCCTCCCATCCTCCCTCGTCGCCAGTGTTCCTGGTGGAGGAGGAGGAGGCGGACAAGGAGCGCTGGGAGGTGCGGATGCCGGTACATCAAGATTCAAGAGAACCTTTTCTCAACCCCCCAACCCACCCTCCCATCCTCCCTCGTCGCCAGTGTTCCTGGTGGAGGAGGAGGAGGCGGACAAGGAGCGCTGGGAGGTGCGGATGCTGGTACATCAAGATTCAAGAGAACCTTTTCTCAACCCCCCAACCCACCCTCCCATCCTCTCTCGTCGCCAGTGTTCCTGGTGGAGGAGGAGGAGGCGGACAAGGAGCGCTGGGAGGTGCGGATGCCGGTACATCAAGATTCAAGAGAACCTTTTCTCAAACCCCCCAACCCACCCTCCCATCCCCCCTCTCAACAGTGTTCCTGGTGGAGGAGGCGGAGGCGGACAAGGAGCGCTGGGAAGTGCAGAGGGAGGTGTAGTGCAGGTACAGTATGAATCAATATACCTTTTCTCAACCCCCCAACCCACCCTCCCATCCTCTCTCGTCGCCAGTGTTCCTGGTGGAGGAGGAGGAGGCGGATAAGGAGCGCTGGGAGGTGCGGAGGGAGCTGCAGGTGGACGTCACACCCACCGACCTGCTCGCCGTGGGGGAGAAGCTCAGGGCGCAGGTGTCGCTGCCGCTGGGCAGCGACCCCAAGGACGCCCATGCGTGGAAGCAGGCCGCTGCTGACAACTTCTGTGTGCGCGGCGCTACCTATCTCTCAGATGGGATCAAGGTATGGACCCTCTGTGGCCTTCCTTGTGTGGCAGTGAGAGTAGTGAGAGAAAAAAGGGAAAAGATGAGGAGGGAGGAAGCAGGCTGCTGCTGACAACTTCTGTGTGCGCGGGGCTACCTATCTCTCAGATGGAATCAAGGTATGGACTCTCTTGTAGCAGCAGAGAGAGCACTGAGAGCACAATGGGAGAAGCTGAGGGCGCAGGCGTCCCTGCCGCTGGGAGTAGATGCCAAGGACGCCCATGCGTGGAAACAGGCTGCTGCTGACGACTTCTGTGACAGGCTACCTATCAAGGTGAGCTTGGTTCCTCCCTCTGGTTCAAGCTTGTGAGTTTGAACTCGTGCCTCAAGAGGCGGGGCGCCATGTATCTCTCTGAGGGGACCAGAGTGGGCCCCTCAAAAGGTGGGGCCCATATGCCTCTTCCTTACCCCTCCCCTCGCCTTTATAGTTCCCTCTCTCCTCCTCCTCACTCTCTCCCTCTCCCCTCTCCCCTCTCCTTTCGCTCCTGGCAGTGGACTGGCTGAATTTTAATTCTCTCTTTCTCTCATCCTTCTTTCCTCGCCCTCTCGCCACCCGTCTTCTTTCCTCTGCAGATCCCAGCAGCCCAGCCGCTGCTCTCGCTCCTGGCAGTGGACTGGTTCAAGTCGGACTCGCGCATTGATAACGTGGCAGCACGACCCGGCTCTGTCATGCAGGTGAGGGGGTGTTGGGGGGGGAGGGGCGAGGTTGAGATGAAGCAAGGGGGGAGAGTGGGAAAAGAGACATGGAATGGAATAGCTGCACGTGGCAGTGGACTGACTGGTTCAAGTCGGACTCCCGCATTGACAACGTGGCAGCACGCCCCGGCTCTGTCATGCAGGTGAGGGGGTGTTGGGGGGAGAGGGGCGAGGTTGAGATGAAGCAAGGGGGGAGAGTGGGAAGAGAGACATGGAATGGAATAGCTGCACGTGGCAGTGGACTGACTGGTTCAAGTCGGACTCCCGCATTGACAACGTGGCAGCATGCCCCGGCTCTGTCATGCAGGTGAGGGGGTGTGAGAGGGAGGCTAGGGGGAGCTGGAGGCGGAGAGGGGGGGGGGGGGGGGGGGGGGAAGATTGAAATCTTAAGGGAGGGGGAAGCGACTGGCAGTGGACTGACTGGTTCAAGCCGTATTCTCGCATTGACAACGTGGCAGCACGACCGGGGTCTGTCATGCAGGTGAGGGGGCGCGATGTAAGTGGGTGTTCAGAGATGTGAGGGGATCTGAGCATAAGTGAGGGAATGTGCTGACAAGTGAGGGTATGTGAGGGGATTTGGGGGGATGTGAGGGTAAGAAAGGAACTCAAGAGTAGGAAGGAGAGGGAGGAAGGAAGGGAAGATGAAAGGGAAGACAAATGGGAGGAGGTAAGGAGAGGGAGGGAACAGAGGATGCAACTGGTATTGGAGTGGTTCAATTCAAGCCAGTGAAGTGGATATGTGTATCTCCTTTTTTGGTCCTCCTTTATTGTGCATTCTTTACATACAAACGTCGGCCATTTTTCCATTCCACTCTCTTCCCATACACCATCTCCCTTTCCATATCCCCCATTTTTTAGTCGACTTAAAAATCCACACCCCTTCCCCATTCCCACCCTCCGCTCCCAGTCGGAAACAGGCAAGAAGCTTCCGTTCGTGTTTGTGCTGAACCTGCAAGTGCCCAGCAAGCCCAACTACTCATGTGTCGCTTACTTTGCTGCCGACCGCCCCGTCAAGCCCCACTCGCTGCTGCTGGGGAGGTTCAGACTCGTGCAGAAAAACAGTTCCCCATAACACCTCGTGTGTCGCTCACTTAGCTGTCGACCGCCCCCATCCTCCCCTCCCCTTCCCCCCTTGCTCTTTCCCAGTCGGAAGCAGGCAAGAAGCTTCCGTTTGTGTTCGTGCTGAACCTGGAAGTGCCCAGCAAGCCCAACTACTCATGTGTCGCTTACTTTGCTGCCCCCCCAACCGCCCCCATCCTCCCCCTCACAGTCCGAAGCAGGCAAGAAGCTTCCGTTTGTCTTCGTCTTGAATCTCCAAGTGCCGGGCAAGCCCAACTACTCATGTGTCGCTTACTTTGCTGCCGACCGCCCCGTCAAGAAAGATTCTCTCCTGGGGAGGTTTGTGAACACGGAGGATGATGCATTCAGGAACAGCCGCTTCAAGCTCATTCCGCGCATCGAGGAGGTGCGTGTGCGTGTGTGTGTGTGGCTTGGGCGTGTATGTCTGTGGCTAGGGCATCTGCCCGCCACCTGCACTGTGTGTACTCTTGAAAAAGCCTGTCAAGCCCGAATCGCTGCTGGGGAGGTTCGTGAACGCGGAGGATGATGCATTCAGGAACAGCCGCTTCATGTTCATTCCGCGCATTGAGGAGATGCATTCAGGAACGCATCATCCTCCAAGCGGGGGATGATGCATTCCGCCCCTGGCGGAATGAGCTTCAAACTCACTCCGCGCATCGAGGAGGTGCGTGCGTGGCAACTTCAAACGCCTTTCCTCTATTTCCTTTCCTTCGAGAAAGAAGATATGTTTTTGAGACGACTCTAAACGGCCGCTTCAAGCTCATTCCCCTCCCCCGCGTGTGTGGCAGTTTCCCTGGCCTTCCCTGTATTTCCTTCTCCTGCCACCTCCTCAATTTTGTTTCAATACCCTTCATGCCGCCCTTTCTGCCACTTCCTGCCACTTCCTGCCACCTTCATGCCGCCCTTTCTGACTGCCTTTCTAACCGCAGGGCTGCTGAAATGAACCGAACTCAGCTCATTCGCACCCCTCTCAATTCCTTCTCAATACCCTCTCTTCCCCTTCCTATTCTTTCTGCGCCACCCTGTCTGGCTGCCCTTCTGCCCGCAGGGCTTCTGGGCAGTAAAACGGGCAGTTGGAACAAAAGCTGCTATTCTAGGCAAAGCTCTCACCTGCAGCTACTACAAGGGGGAGAACTACCTGGAGGTAGGGGAGGGAAGAAGGATGGAGGTGGTCGGTTAAGACTCATATGTGGCAAGGCTCTCACTTGCAGCTATTACAAGGGCGAGAACTACCTGGAGGTAGGGAAGGATTGTGGAGGGAGGGAAAAGAGTGGAGGGGAGGAAGAATGATGGACAAGCACAGAGGTCCTAAAAGGTTTTCTCAGAAAGATTTTTTCTTCTTCTTTTTTTCCCCAGCCCAAGGACCTCTGTGCTTCACTCATTTTCACCATCAGCCTCTTGGCTGGTTTTCCTTCTCCCACCCATTCAACCGACCTCAGTCATTTTCCACATCAATCTATAGACCCTTAGGTTGTTTTTCGACTGAAGGGCCGCCGTTGACCTTTCCAACCCCTTTGAACCCCACTGAATCATTCTGAACCGCACTCAACCAGATGGACGTGGACGTGGGGTCGTCCTCAGTAGCGCGCAGCGTCATCGGCCTCGTGCTGAGCTACGTTACCTCGCTTGTTGTGGACCTTGCTCTGCTTATAGAGGTGAGGATTTGATGGGCGGTAGACCTGGCACAAGGTGGGTGCTTTGTGGCTCTGCTCATTGAGGGATGACTCTCACTCGCTCGCAGCGTCATCGGCCTCGTGCTCAGCTACGTCACCTCGCTTGTCGTGGACCTGGCGCTGCTTATAGAGGTGAGAGCCTTGTGGTGTGTTAGCAAGTCTGTTTTGGTGTGTTCAGCCTGCATATTGGTCGCTCGCAGCGTCATCTGCCCTATACTCAGCTCTACGTCACGTCGCTCGTGGTCGACCTGGCACTGCTTGTCGAGGTGAGATCTGTGTCTTGTGCAAGCCAATCTGGTATATCTCAGTGGCTTGCAGCATCGTCGGCCTCGTTCTCAGCTCAGCGTCACATCACTTGTCGTGGACCTGGCACGGCTCATAGAGGTGTTAGCCTTGGGAATCACTTTTGAGAATTCTCAAATTCTCTGCGTCACATCACTTGCCGTGGACCTGGCGTGACTCATAGAAGTGTTAGCCTTGGGAATCACTCTTGAGAATTCTCAAAAGCTCTGTGTCACATCACTTGTCGTGGACCTGGCACGGCTCATAGAGGTGTTAGCCTTGTGGTGTGTTAGCTGGTTAGTTCTGGCGCGTTCAGCCTGCGTTTCAGTCGCTCCCAGCGTCATCGGCCTAAATCTCACTCACCTTGTGGTAAACCTGGCACGGCTCATTGAGGTGAGGTGAGAGCCACCTGTGACTTTTGAGTCGACTCAAAAGTCACCTAATTCTCACTCACCTTACTGGTAAACCTGGCACGGCTCATTGAGGTGAGGTGAGAGTCACTCAGCCATCTGTGTTGTGCAAGTCACTCCCCTCCCACCCCTTTCTTCCTTCAATTTTTTCCCCTTCTTCAGGCCCAACCTGCAGATAAGCTGCCCGGGTATCTTCTCGGCACAATCACTCTCATGCGATGCGCCTCACCCCAGCCTCTCCTTGTTCGTCTTTCTCCCCCTTCTTCAGGCCCTAGCTGCAGATGAGTTGCCAGAGTACCTCCTGGGCACAATCACCCTCATGCGCCTTGCCTCAAGCTCTCCCTCCCCTGCTCTCCTCCCCCGCCCTGATTCGCCTCACCCCAGGCTCTTTAGGCTCTTTCTTACTCGTTCCGATGTTCCTCCTCCCGCCCCTTTCTTCCTTCACTACTATCCCCCTTCCAGGCCCAAGCTGCAGACGAGTTGCCAGAGTGCCTTCTGGGCACAATCACCCTGATGCGCCTCACGTCACGCTCCTCCTCCTTTCACCTCACCTTGCACTCAATCTTTCCCGCCCGCCCGTTTCTCCCTTGTCAGGCCCAAGCGGCAGGCGAGTTGCCAGAGTACCTCCTGGGCACAATCACCCTCATGCGCCTCGAGCCCAAGAAGGCCATTGACCCCCCTCCTGCTTGAGTTTTTTAGCGGGCGGATTGTTGATTGAGTCGACAAAAAAACGAACGCTTGAGATGATTTGCTGAAGTACAGCCTTCTCGGCACAATCACTCTAATACACCTCACCTCATGCCCTTCCTCCTTCCTTGCCCCTCTCTTGCCAGGCCCAAGCAGCAGACGAGCTGCCGGAATACCTTCTCGGAACAATCACACTCATGCGCCTCGAGCCCAAGAAGGCCATTGACCCCCCTCCTGCATGATTCATTGAGCCAATATGGGTTGTTGAGTTGGCCAAAGAACGCTGCAGACAGGTCACCCAAGTACTAGCTACTCGGCACAATCACTGTAATGTGCATCGACCCCCCTCCTGCATGATTTATTGAGCCAGATTGAGCTGGTTTAGGAGCTTCCATCCATTGAGCTATCCTTGCTCTGTTTATTTGCATCACATTTCACATTTTGGAATGCTATCATTACATGTACATCCTGGAACAGATGCAATGCCATTGCAAATAATGTATGTGCCATCTTGTAGTTGCGTAGCCTATACCATTATTTTTATGTACTGCCTGAGCTGAGCACCTTCATGCCCTTTCTTTCTTACATTTCTCTCCTTTTTGAGACACAATCTGCATAATGATCTGCCTGAGCACCTTCTAGGCACACTCAGTCTCATGCGCAGCACCTCACCAGTCCCTTAAGCACAGGCCAAAGCAGTGGACGAGCTGCCCAATCACTGTCAAGAAACAGTGGCGAGAAAGGAGAAATAGGAAAGAGGGGTTGCACTAGCAGCAGATAGGATACATATAGCAAACCCTAATTTGGGCTGTACTCACTAAAGGGTACCCCACTGTAGACTAGACAATTATCGCATTCTGACACACCCCCATAGTCAAAGTGGGGTATGATCAGCACAGCAAGAACTCGCATGAGAAGTTCACAAGCACAAGCAAAGCTAGAGGCAGTCATAGAGGGCAAGTGAGGAGGAGGAGGGACTGTGAGAGGAGAGAAGATTGGAGGCGGCGGCTGAAGCTGCTGGCACACAGGCTACTGGAGCAACTGACACATTGGCTACCGGAGCAAGGGCACAACCTTCCCGGACTACTGGAGTAACTGGCTCCGCGGCTACGACGAGCGGCTGGAGCAACGGACCCACGGGCAACTGGCGCAACGGGCTCGCTGGCTACCGGAGCAAGGACACGACCTTCCCGGACTACTGGCGCTGCTGGCTCCACAACGGCTACCTCCGCTCAACCCTCCCCTACTGTCGCAGACGCCTTTTCACACACCCCCCTATGCACCCCTAGCTCCACTCCCACGGCACCCCCCTAGCGCCACTCCCTCGTCTCCCACACATCCACCCCCCTCAGCGGCAGCTGTAGCAGTGGGAGACGGAGGAGGAGGAGGAGTAGGGGATTGCTCACACACCCGCCACCCCCATACCTGCCAACCCCATACCCCCAACGCAGGAGGCGCGCGTGCGGCTCGGGGCAGAGACACAGGAAGTAGCTGGGGCGGCGTGCGAGCGGACGCGGGGCAGCGCGCGGGTCCCTGGGGCGCTGAGACGGGCGACGGGCGACGGGCAGGGCGGCGCGCGGGCCCCCAGGGCGCCGCGACGGGCGACGGGAGGGGGCGACGCGCGGGCCCCCAGGGCGCCACGACGGGCGACGGGCAGGGCGACGCGCAAGCCCCCAGGGCGCCGCGACGAGGCGACGGGAGGGGGCGGCGCGCGGGCCCCCGGGACGCCGCGACGGGCGACTGACAGGATGGCGCGCGGGCCCCCAGGGCGCCGCGACGAGGCGACGGGAGGGGGCGGCGCGCGGGCCCCCGGGATGCCGCGACGGGCGACGGGAGGGGACAGCGCGCGGGCCCCCGGGGCGCCGCGACGGGCTACGAAACCGCCGCGCGCGCCCGGGGCGCGCGGCGGGCAGAAAACGCCACGCGCGCAGGGCGCGCGGCAGGCAGAAAACGTCGCGCGCCCGAGGCGCGCGACAGGTAGGACAGCAGCGGAAGCAGGTGGGCCCACAGGCCAGGAGCGATTTCCCTCTGATAGCATGTCAAGAAACAGTAGCGAGAAATGAGAAACAGGAAAGAGGGGTTGCACTAGCAGCAGATAGGATACATATAGCAAACCCTAATTTGGGTTGTACTCACTAAAGAGTACCCCACTGTAGACTAGACAATTATAGCATTCAGACAATCACTCATGCCCCTCACCTCAGTCTCTCCCCTTCCTCAACCATGGCTTCCCCGGTCAATCTCTCTCCCCCGCCCCTTTCTTCCCTTGAGTACTCTCTCCTTCTTACAAGCCAAAGCAGTAGACGAGCCCAATCACTCATGCCCCTCACCTCAGTCTCTCCCCTTCCTCAACCCTAGCTTCCCCAGTCAATCTCTCTCCCCCACCCCTTTCTTCCCTTGAGTACTTTCTCCTTCTTACAGGCCTAAGCAGTAGACAAGTTGCCCAATCACTCATGCCCCTCACCTCAGTCTCTCCCCTTCCTCAACCCTCGCTTCCCCACTCAATCTCTCTCCATCGCTTTCTTCCCTTGAGTACTCTCTCCTTCTTACAGCCCAAAGCAGTAGACGAGCTTCCCAATCACTCATGCATCGGTATCTCACCTCACGCTCTTCCTCCTCTCCCCTCACGTTCCACTCAATCTTTCCTGCCCGCCCTTTTTGTCAGAATCCCAGCCACTAGACCACTGGGATAAAAGGGCTTGTTTGTGTAGCGGGTGAGTGCGCCCATAACCCTCTAGGCCGCCATGCCTATAACCCTTCCCTAGGATCAATCGGGGATCACCAGTGGACCTCTGACACCCCCCCGCACTGGGATGCCCGAGGTGCACACACCGGGATACGAACCCGAGACCTTCGCTCTGATACCATGTCAGAATCCCAGCCACTAACCACTGGGATAAAAGGGCTTGTTTGTGTAGCGGGTGAGTGCGCCCATAACCCCCCAGGCCGCCATGCCTGTAACCCTTCCCTAGGATCAATCGGGGATCACCAGTGGACCTCTGACACCCCCCCGCACTGGGATGTCCGATGTGCACACACCGGGATTCGAACCCGAGACCTTCGCTCTGATACCATGTCAGAATCCCAGCCACTAACCACTGGGATAAAAGGGCTTGTTTGTGTAGCGGGTGAGTGCGCCCATAACCCCCCAGGCCGCCATGCCTGTAACCCTTCCCTAGGATCAATCGGGGATCACCAGTGGACCTCTGACACTTTTCTTCCTCATTTTTCAGGTTCAAGCTGCAGACGATGCAGACTAGCTACAAACGAGTTACCCGAGCAACTCCTGGCCACAATCTCTTTGCTGATTTGGATTGACTGGAACACCGTAATTAAAATACCCCGTCATAACTCAGTTTTCAACTAGGGCTGACGTTTGATTTTAGGCCTCTCTGAATCCGGGAAAAAAATTTCCCCCTGTATTATGGGTGCTCCTAAAAAACATCACCCTGATTGCTCAGTGTTGGGAAGTTATATAGTCTGATTGTTCAGGGTCGAGAAGTTAGGGTCAGAGTAGTACGGTAATGTGCTGTGCATTATCGAAACTGAACTTGTCATGACGGCGGATACACTTTATATGCAATAATTCACACCCATCGTAATGGTGCACTGTATTTGTTCACCCGTTTTGGCGCGAGAAAAAACGCGTAAATTCGGTCAACCTGAAATGCGACACTTCAGATGTCGCTAGAGTTTATCGGTCGCCGATACGCTGGGAAATTCGCACTTCTGTTGTGTGACATGCCTTGCTAGAAATCCCGTAACACAACATTCTGTTAGTTTTACTTTCGTACAGTTGTGACACGCAAGCAACCCTTTGAACTTGCTTTGTAATGACAGAGTCCATGAGAACACTACTCTGAGCGTGTATACAAAATTTCAGAGTCCGCTTCACCATTATTCGGAATAGATCTGTGTTCACAAGTCGTAAATTCTGAAATGGCAGGGACCACAAGGTGACAAGTCTGAAATCACCCTGAAATTAGGGCAAGTACCCTGATAAAATCAGCCCTGATTTTGACAGTAGAACCTTCGTATAACAGAATCGTTTAGAAGATTGCCTGACACGTAGTTTTACCCGTCATATTACACCTCCTTTGAAAGCATAGCCCAGAAGATCCTGACATCCTGGCTATGATTCCGACGGAAGCACCACGGTGCCTGATCCACGAACCTCTGAAAATCATAGAAGTGCTCCTCCATAAATACATCACTGAAGAGTGGGGAATCCCAGGGGGAGGAAAAACTTCATAATAGAAACAATTTGAATGGTGCGGAAGAATCTTCGGATGATGTTTGGAGCCTTCTCTGAATTTCCTGCGTAACACCTCTCCCCTCACCCCACCCTCCTCCCCTATTATTGACCATAGACCGTCGACGTGCCGCTCTCCCCACCCTCCCAACTTTGACCCCCCCAATAACCTCGCTTATGCTTTGCTAGAATAAGGCCTGAACCATGTAGCTCAAGGCAGAAATCAAAATGGCCTGAATTGTAAGGGCTTGATCGGGCTGCTTTTCCGATATTTCAGGGCTCGTTTCAGGCCAGCTCAACCTCGTCGTAAGGGCCTCGTCGTAGCTTCTGACCAAGCAACAGCCCTTCTTGCGACGCGACTCTTGCAAACCACCTCGCTCATTCAGCGTACATTCATTTGTCGACATTTGTGTCTCAATTGTTAAACTGTATTATGCTTGTAGGCTGTAGTGGGGTAGCCAATATGGGGTACAACCCCAACTAGGGTTTCATATTTGTACCCAAAACTTCTGCTAGTTCATTCATTCTTGCCTAGTTCTCTTAACATGGTATTCAGAGCAGGAGGTCCCTAGGACCTACCGACCGTTTTTTTTTAAGGGCCCACCACCGCTCGCATGCGGTTACCACGCTACCCCGTGCCCTAGCCTCGTAGCGCCCTCGTGCGCCCTCGTTAGCGCCCTCGCGCGCCCCTCGTTAGCGCCCTCGCGCGCACCCTCGTTAGCGCCCTCGCGCGCCCCTCGTTAGCGCCCTCGTGCGCCCCTTGCTAGCGCCCTCGCGCGCCCCTCACTAGCGCCCTCGCGCGCCCCTTGCAGTGTCGCCCGCCCGCCGAGCCGCCCGCTCGCTGCCCGCTTCGCGGCCCGCCCGCTTCGCAGCCCGCTCGCCCCGCTGCCCGCTTCGCAGCCCGCTCGCCCGCTCGCTGCCCGCTTCGCGGCCCGCCCGCTTCGCAGCCCGCCCGCCCGCTCGCTGCCCGCTTCGCGGCCCGCCCGCTTC